AGAAAGACATGGCAGTTGCAAAGCATCTTTAACCTCCAGTGATTTATTGGCCCTCAGCCAAGTTATCAGGGGAATCTAATTCTTCTTTATTATTCAAATAAACCACATTTGGCACCATGGTTCCCTTTCAGACTAGCTTCACAAATAGACTGAGCTCTGTCACTTATTTGACCTTGTACTTGTGTGCAGTAGCTGTAATTTTATTTGCCATTCTATATCACAAATGCAGAGAAACCTAAAATATGGAGATGAACAACAGGATGGGGGAGGGAGTTTATGGTAAATATACCTGCATGGATTAAAACAAAAAAGAGCGACATTTAAAACAACCATTTACCCTCTTTCACTGTCACCTATTTTAGCCCACATTATATCCACAACTAACCTGGACCTTTCAGCAGCTGCCCCTGAAACTAGCCAATTTGTAACCCCGTCTGCGGCTACCCTTTGGCTGGCTTGCAAGAGCCAGGAAATATCTGGTATGAAGTGAGAAGAGGGGAAGGGACTCATTACATGCAGGCAGGCAATGGAGGCCGTGGGGTATGATTAGAACACATTTCAAAAGAGGCTTCAACTGGTGTGTAGGATATTTTCCTTCAATGTCACAACAGTAAAGAAAAGTGTTTAATTTCTCAATTTGCTCTAGATTCCATTAACTGGGAAACACTGCTGGCATAGATGTGAACCAGAATCATTAACTCTCATTTCCCAAACAATGTTTTCAGAAGACATGAGTCCATTTTTTATTCTCTGATTAACTGAGACCTGTGTCCTCCATCTCTGGCAACTATAGTATTGTATTCCTCATGAGCATTTAGAGGAAAATGCAGGATTTGAGTGTGCACAAAGGATAACTGAGTTGAAATTATATAAACTATCAAAATAGCCAATGGTATTTGCGAGGCTAGAAGAGAATGCCATTCTCAAAACGGTCCTCAGCCCAGCCATGACTGAGGGGAAGGGGGGCTCTGCCCGTGTGTGAGACCTATGTGTGTGTGTGCTTCTCATGCACACCATTACTACAGTCTTGGTGTGAACGTGGACTTCCATGGAAGCATATCAGTACATCATAATCCATATGTTAGCCTCTATACGTATAAGATTTATTTTCAGACTTTAGTTCTACAGAATTTTGCTCTCCTTGAGAAGCACTATTTCCTGATTTGTGATAGTTAATGATATTTCTGTTCTTTCTTTGGTTACCAGGAAGCTCACAGGTAACACTAAAGTTTTATTAGACTACATACACCATATTTTCTCAGCATCTAATTATGTTCTCCTACTCAGTGGTATTGAGTAGTCATTTTTATTTGTCTTTTTCCTTACTTTCTTGTTTTATTTTGACATTATGTTATTGCATATGTTTGTTTCAAATCCTTTGTGGGGATGGGAGGATAAAAGCTGACACAAAAATATTTCTCTAAGCTTTTCATCCTATATCAAATAGAATGCTTTATATTTATCATGGAATGTCTTTTTTGGATTCTCTGGTGATTAAGTCCCTTATGTTTTGGAAGAGATTTCATAAAAGCTGGCTCCATATCATCACTACCTTTTCAGCATTAGGGAATCTATTTTTTTTTTTTTTTTCATTTTCACTTTTGCCAAAATTCCATTATGGCTAAAGAGTTGTGTTGTCTTTAACAGCTTTGAATGCCATGAACAGGTATCAGCAGTCCTTTAATCTCTATGCAAAGCAAAATCAGCCTTATATTAGGGGTTCTTCCCTTAAGAAAAGGCCTCATGGGAACTGCAAACCATTTTCACCCAGAAAACCAAGTCAATAGTGCACAATTCCATAACCTAATGCCCATTCTTAAGTGAAATGTGCCTGTCTGTGTGTCTGTCTACCCACCTTCCTAAGTAGCAAAGTCAGCGGGCTGCTGTGGAGGCTCAGATCTCACCATGGCTCGCTCCATCCCTTTCATCACCACAACAGGAAGGCGCCGAGACGGCAGCAGCAGTGCACACACCAACGCCAGCCGCTCTGCCCGCTTTGCACTCAGGGGCTGCATCTCTCACCCAGGCTCCACCCCAGAGCACAGGAGAAGTTTCCTTACTTGGTTTGCTCATGAGCCAAAAAGAATCCTAGTTCTTTCCTGAGCATAAGCCGTTTTAAAGCCACCATATTTATTTACATGTCGAAAGAAAATAAAACTGAGCAAGGAATATCTTGAGAGTCAGAAATGCAGATGCAGCCATCCTCTCACTAAGAAACTGACAAGCTCACAGTACTCCTCAATATTTTCTTTAGGTAAGCATTTGCTGATAAGAGTCACATGTTGTTTTTTTTTTTTTTAAACTATTTTTAAAGGAAAGCAGGGGCCAATACTTTCTAGACTCCTTATCGCTATCTAGAATGTGATGGAATAACCACTTAGCCGAAGTTATAGAACACAAGCAGAACATTTGGTTCACATTTAATTAAGGGAAAAGGGATAGAAGAGCAAATGAGCAACTGAGTAAGAGTGTTTTCTTTTTGTCCCTCAAATGCTATGCACCCTCCCCACCTGCAAAAGAACATTGAAGAAACTCAGGAAAGCTTAAAGCTCAGGGGCCTGAATTTCCCTATTAGGACTTAAGACCTTAACGGGCTTGCAAATTTTCTCCCCAATTTTCAGGATAGACTTTTCTCTTCAGGCTTTGGGCATTTAAAAAATGCAACATATCGGGTTACTTTCATACAAACCCAGAACTATCTTTGCACTTTAGCTTTTTACTAAATTGGTATATGCAAAATTTCTTCCTTCTGACTTACCCTCATCATCTCTGTCATGGAGTGCTGCTAGAAGAAGCCTTGTGCTGTGCACGAGACCCCTTCTACCAACATCGCAAATGCCCACCACAGAAGAAGGCACCGCACCTCACCGCCAGGTCTGCCCCTGGTCAAGATGCCTACTATCGGCGCACACTTGAAAAGCCATCATGTGTACAGACAAGGGATGAATGCACAGAGGTTGCCATTTCTAAACTATTTCTATATAGCTACTTTATTCTGCAGGAACCACCGTTACTTGTTTCTGATTTTAGGAAAAGATTGACTTAATGCTATGTAGAGAAGCAGAGAAACAAACTGCTTTTAAGGAGAAACCAGCACAGGGTTAAAGCCAAATTTTTCTTGAACAGATGATATTTCAGATGGCCACACTATTCCAGATGCATCAATTTCCTTGAAAATCCAATCCATATATGTGCATATGCTGTGCTGGCAGGAGGACTGACTGAAATGGCCAAAACCCAAGAGCTAATATTCTTTTGGCCAGAATAATGCAATTATTATTTTCCTAGCTATCAGTCTAAGCACACAGAGCCATCTGTTATGCAAAGCAAACATACACATCTCAATTACAGAAAATGCAGTTGCCTTGACAGAATTTGGATTACACCACTAACCAGGGCTGTAAAATGTGTTTGGAGCTGGTATATAATGGATGCTTTTCAGGAGTCCCCTAATTAGCATTTACCTGCTTAAACTAATTATTCATCCTTCTTCTTTACTGGCTTATTAAACTTCGTTGGATACTCTGCATAAAACAGATGAATGTGGGCACTGGAGAACAACACACAGCGGCACCTCCAGTTGTATGAAGTCTAAACAACACGGCAGCACACAGTTTCAAAACTGGAGATTCGCAATACTCGGTCCCAAGCAGATTAACACAAGGTTTAAAGGCTACTACAAAAGCAGACATTTCAACAAGATACGAGACTACTAATAGTTAACAATGGCTCAGTCTCTATCACTGGATTTCTCCAAGTCCACATGAAATAGAATTATTCTCTATACTGCAGTATGTGTGCTTCGAGGAAGCGTTAACGATCACAGCCCTTATTTGGATTCTCAACAGTAAATAATCAAATTTGGCAGTGTTTCTTCTCCTTCGCCAGCCCTCTCAAGTGCCAAATCTCTCTATTATTTCCCAGTGTCTTTCCTAATTTAGCTATTACCCAGAAAACTCACTAAGAGCCAAAGGATTCCAGGCCTGCTGGCTGCTTGCTTAGCACTATGACAGCCTTCAGAAGCAATGAGTCTGCGTGGGTCCTGCTTAAGAGGAGAAAGGTGAATCTTATCTCTATCTTTAGCTCCGAGGGGCAAAAGAATGAGGGGTGGATTATCCAACTTGGCAGATCATCACACACAACAAAATCCCTCCCGTTCAGGCTGTGTTTTCCTCCCTGCAAACCACCAGATGAAAAGGGTCAAACACAGTCAGTCACCTATACAGGTACAAATACTCAGATATTCAGCACTTTCATGGAGAAAACATCTGGATAAGTAGCTGAGTGGCAAACTTTACTTCAGGATATTTTGGCACTCTATAGATGCAGCTTATGCCTTGGAATCCAGTGGAACTCAACTTTCTGTGTTCCAGGGGAGTATCGAGACCATCTAGGATTTGTCCCTTACCCCATCAGACTCCATCTTCTTTTCTCCCCTCACACACACATGTGAAGAATTAAACAGCAAACCATGAAAGGATGTCTTACTTTATGAAACTGTCTTTCAGCATTAGGAAGCATTTGCAAAGGCAGCAAAATATATCCTTGCTGGAACCCTCCTCAACACATTTTAATGGTCTCTTTCAGCATTTCTTGACTCCAAATGACTCCTGTCATTGTGTCAGCTCCCAAGATAATGCAGGGCTCTCCATAAACATCCAGTAATAGGACACAAGGGAAGCACTATTAGTGTGTCCCTCTCCTACAGGGCATGGAGGTTTCAAAGTTCAAAACAACTGAGAGAAGAAACTTCATTTGTTTCCAATAAATTAATAATGATCCTTGGTGGGTGGAGAGGGTAACAAAATTTTTGAGCACAAGTTTATTCCGAACAGTTAATGCTGACAGTTTTCTCAGTGACAGAGAGAAGAGTCAGGGGGAGTCCCTTAAATAATAAGTTTGATAATTCATGCTAAGCAGAACATCTCCTGAAGAAGGAAAAACACAAGGCTGGCTGAGCCTTCACAATTGTCACCATGAATCTAAATTGTTCAACTTACTTGTGAGAGGCCTAGGTAGATGGAGACCGTTTCAGAAATGTACAAAAATTTTCCTTCTTGGTTTAGTGCAAATACAAAGCCATCCAGGGACTGCAGGGAAAAAAAAAAACATACAAGTAGGTTAATAAATATATAATAGATATTAATAAGGCAACTGATACAAAGCAACACATTGAAATTTAAGAACATTTTCCTTCATGGGTTACAAAAGCCCTAACATTTTTCAGCATTGCATTATACATGAACAAATGAAAGACCTGAATTGAGAAGACAAACATCTCTTTATTTCAGGGACTTCTTTCTGTCTGTGTCATTTTGATCAAGATACATTATATTCATGTACAAAATAAGGTCATGCTGATTTTATGAGATGTTGCCTTTATTTTTTGGGATTCAGTGGTTACTGAGATTAAATCAGCAAGGTTCTCTATTAAATAGCTGAACAGGAAAGGAAATTATAATGAAATAAAAGAAAAAAAGGTTTATATACGAAGAACAAGTAAAATTACTACTATAACCACTACAGACATCAAAAGTTTACTAATTAATAAAGGGTTATACCCGCCTCATTCCCAGGGCTTATTGTGTTAGAACAAATAGGAAAGCTCGGTATATCATGGGTGAATGTTTATGGGCTGAAACCTTACAAACTGCAATCTTGTTGTGCAGAACTCTGTATTAAACTTTTATCTGATAGATCTAGCTTCTATTACAACTCCTGAAAACAAAAGAAGAAGAATGAAAGAATAAAAGGATGCTACATCATCTGTAACTCCTGAGACCGCAGTGCAACTTCCCAAATGGAGGGTCACATTTCCAATCCAATAAATGGCATAAATCATCATGGGCTCTAACTACAACACTCAGATTGGGAATACATTTGTTTCAAATTCTTGCAGTCTGAGTGCATTTCATATTCTCCATTGTCCTCATGTCTTTTGTCTTGTTTTATTTATTTTTAACAAGGTAGACTGCACAAGTGCTGCTTGCCCCGGAAAAGAGGTTTTAAGGATTAGTGATGTTAACAAAAGCTAAGAATTTGCAAATGCAGGAAATCTTTGTAGGGAACAAAATATGTGGGAAATGTAAACAAATTAATGATATACATCTTTAAATGTAGAAAGGTGGAAGAAGTGTGTAAAGTTCTGATAGTAACATGTACGCCTTCAAAGCCGAGCAATAACTTCATTCTCCTTGAATGCTGAAACTGTTTTGAAATCACTGTGTGTGTTCAAACATTATGGCTTGGATGTGCTCCCCAAAGTCCCCATGTTGAAAACTTGATCTCTACTGCAGCAGTGTTGCAAGGAGGGGCCTTAAAGGAGGTGAGGAGGCTGAGAGGGCTCTGCCCTCGTGAAAGGATTAACTCTCTTTAACCCACTTTTAGTTGTTCCAAAAGTGGGTTCCTGATGAAGGGATGAGTTGGTCCCCTCCCGCCCTCTTCATAGTGCCTACTGCCTTCTGCCATGAGATGACAGCAAGAAGGCTCTGCCGGGATAGATACGAGCCCCTTGACCTTGGGCTTTTTGGCCTCCAGAAGAATAAGAAATAAACCTTTGTTCTTTATGCATTACCCAGTGTCAGGCACTCTGTTATATTAACACATAAGGGACCAAGACAATGAATTTATATACACATAGATGAATAAACATATTATATATATGATATGTATACATGAAATGTAGATTTTCATATTTCCTGACCCCTCTTCCCTGCCTCACACTGGTCCAAAACTCTGGGTGGCACCCAACCCCATTCTTTAATTTACTGAGTTTTGAAAACAATTCAAAGTCATTTTATATTGTGTCACAGAAGAACAAATTATTTTTTTTCAGAAGAACAAATTATACACAAGACAAATTTTCAGTAAAGACAGTATAACAATAACAGGTTATATTTATTAAGCAATATGTCCTCAGCAGTTTGCATGTATTGTCTTTTTACATTTTCACAAGTATCATATGAAGAAATTATAATATCTATGTTTATATACAGTACAAGGAAATTGAGGCTTAGCCAAGTTAGGCAAGCTCATTCCTGGCTTGGAATTTGGATTTCAATCCTGACAGTCAGATTCAATAACTATTCTGCTTTCTGCTAAAAATAAACATTCTCTAACTGATACGTGTGAACTAATGAAAAGATAAATATTCAGAGCACTTAGGAAGTTAAAATAACTTACAAGAAGCATCTTATAGCTTTTCAAACAGCATCACATGTTTTGGAATGCTTTGCTTAATTATTAGGGGTGGCAAAGGGGAAATGGAATGGTAAGAAAATTCACAAGTCATTTCTACCAGACGTCACCTGGTCACCTTTGCTGTGGAGTGTTTCCTCGGGAATCTCTGTGGGGAACAAAATACTGTCTCAGAGAAGTGGTTTCCTTTGACCAGACTGATGAAGGTAGAACCTTGCACAGTGGAGTGTGCCCCTCTCACTCTTCTCTCCCTTTGCACGGGTTTCACTACACGAGGGACCGACGCAAAGGGAAAGAAGGTTCCTTCTCACACGTTTGGGAAGGATCTCACTTCCATGCATCATGAACTTAAGTAAGTTGTCTCTTGAGGATAAAGACCCTCCCCTTGGAGGAAAGGACCATTTTAGGTTTTTCATTTAACCAAATAGCCATGGCATGGGCAATCACAGAGAATCGAGTCAGCCATCTTCTCAAACTTTACAATGTTGCTCCTGTCAAAGGAGACTGATGACTGACAGAGATCCCAGGAGAACTTCTCTGCGAGTGACAGCAGGCTCCTTGGGAGCAGAAGAAATGAGCTGGCACACAGACAGTCTCCTGTAGACTGAATCCTCGTTTTCCAGGTGAGGAGACCGGGGCGCAGAGCAGCTACAAGGTTGGACAAGATCAAACAGCTAGCTTGGGGCAAGGCAGAATTTAGTTTCCAGCACTTCCAGGAAATCATTAAAGCTTTTACAATCTTGTGCGATCCTGGCTGGTTTATTCGACTCCCAGTGAGACTGAATTTCTCAATGGTGGGGCAATGTCTTTGCCTTGCAAGTGCCTAACAACTGCTCAACCAGGGCTTATTTAATCCAGTTCTGTCTCTAAGCTTGATGCTCTCTCCTTTCCTAACACACACTCCATAACAATTAAGAGGAAATTGAAGAAATTATTTTCCCACTGTTTATGGCATTATTAAGTTATTTTCATATTTAGATGCCAGAGGTTTCCAATATACTTTGGGGTATCACCTGATGTTTGGAGCATCAGGGTAAGGGTGGATTCTTTTATAGTCTTCCTACGTGTTTATTTATTCTTCCTGAATAGATATGTCATTGCCACCTGTACATATCCTTTACTTTCCCACTTGTGGGGATTGTCACTTTTAACACAGACTTTAATAGGAGGTTAAGACCTCATGTACATACTAAAATATTAGAGGAGATTTGGGTGCCATCCATGGAGGAAGGAAATATCTGGAGGCTAAACATCTGATGCTATTAAGCAGTGGCCATCTAAGAACTGGCCAGTTTTGTCTGGCAAAATTAGAGGCTTTCACACATGTTCCAATTTCCTAGTGAGATTAAAATGAGTCTATGTCGACATGACACAAAAACATCCAGTCAATTCAATTAAAAATAACAGCCAGTTTGGTTGGGAGAAAACAGCTAGTCAGATTAGTTGTTAGTGATTATAGAGGTTAAAAAAAAAGCCTGATTAGTTTTCACTTTTATGCTTATCATTTTGGTCAATTATATCTATAGTCTAGATAGATATAATTGATCTAGATATAGATAGATAAATATCCAGATAGATATAGATAGATAAATATCCAGAACTCAGGTTTTACTACTTTTTGAATAAGAAATAGTAGGTGATCTTGGGCCTAAAACAGATTGGCAATGCCACTCTTCACAGAGCCATTAGCATCTGACCCCAGGCTGTCCCTGTGTATAGTTAGTTATATTCTGCTGCTTAGGAAAGTTGGAGGCGTAGCATCAATATTGGTTTCATGTGGGTGCTGAAATTTAAAAAGGTAGGAGGAGAAAGGAAATATTCAATCAGTAGTCTTGGAAACCAAATCTTATTAATCTGAAAGTTCTGTGAAATTTTTTTTTAAAATTTTGAATGGAGAAAGCTATTATACACAGTGCTACTCAATCACTGCAGGTTACTTTTTAATTTTTTTTAACTGCCCACTGTTTTCAACAGGCACCAATTAAGATTCTCAGGTCAAAAGGTTAATTACATCTTCTTACCCACTATGTAGAATTTTCTGATTATTAACTAAGGTTGGATTAAGATGAAAAAGAACCCACACAAATGTTAATGCTAGTCCCTCCTCAAGAAGATTTATTATAAAGCCATACTGAAATCTATCTGCTTCCCTCAAAGCAGGTGGAGAACAAAAATCTTAGGAAAAACTGTAAAACACACATTTTAAAGATGCGCAAGTATCTGATTTATCAAGACAATTTTCTTATTACTGAAAACAGTTCTTAGCCATCCAGACAGATCTCCTTTGTTACATCCTAGTAAGTCTATGATGTATACATGCAAGGAATGAGGCTTGGATACAGAAGTCAGGAGCTACAGCATCTCTGAATAATAATGCCTGTAATTATAATTTATATCCCCTGACATCAGTGTAACATATAAAGAGTATAGCACAGTTTCTTAACCCCAAAAGCTGAATGCTTCTAACACTATTTGTCAAACAATGAGGTTATTTCCTTGCAAAGTATGAAATTAACTATAGCTTCATGATTGAAGGTATACTAATGTTTAATGCATTGTGCTAAACGGATTTGTATTGTCAAAAGAGTTTTGTCTCTGCATTCCTTTTTAATGCATATTCTACTGCAGCCAAATTTCTCAGAGTGAAGTCTTTCTATGGTGCCCTGCTAGGGACAATTCTTGTGCATGTAACTACTCTGGAATTAGTGGTTTGTTCTACATTCCAGTGCAGAAGTGGGAAAAAAAATCACCCTAAACTCTTTTCCTTTGACCTAACTCCAGACAGAGAGAATTACCAGTAGGCTAGGTAATTTTAATGACAGATTATTTTAAACTAAGTCTTCACCATCTGTTCCACCCCCTAATTATGAATGCAAAAAGAACATATTTCACA